ATATATATATATATATAAAAATAAAATGATAAAATGCAGGAAAAATGGAACTTTTGTCTCTGGACCGGCTTGGCCGGCTCATGGACGCAACACGTGGATATAAAAATGAAAAAAAGAAAAAAATATGAAGAACACAGGCACACGGATACATACACACGATATACACACACCTGCAGCGAGACTAAAATGAATGAATACGACTAAAATGGAACACTTTTACATACACGATGCCTGCGCGAGCGCGTAGATAGAGATTAATCGAGGTAACATTATGTGCGCATTATAAACGTTTTGGTACTGTACGGCACTGTATGACGCGTCTCTTTATACGTAAACACGTACTTCTTAACTAAGTAATAATCCATCGCCGCGGTGAAGCCTCTCGAAGCGTTTTTTACGCACCGTTACCGGCTTTCCTCGCTTTCGTCGGCCAGGCCGATACTGGCTGATCATCTGTCGTGCCTCGAACGAGCGCCCACCAATCCGATTTCCGTGAGATATATATCCGGATGATCGGCTGCTTTTTCCATTCATTGAATCGTGCTGCGTTCATACGTTCATTCTCCAAGCGATATTCTTACAATATTTGAACGACCTTTTTCGAACTAATTCGAAACTACTTAGAGTAAATTTAACGATAAAGATTTTTTAGCGAATTTTATATTTCGATGAATTCGACTACTATAGTACTTAATTTAAAACGAGGGAAATTCAATTATTATAGCTTTGTTAAATAATTGGAAACTAATGTGATACGACTTGTAAGTTTAGTGTATATAACGTAAGGGATTTGTATTTGATTGTCAGAATGCTTACTTTCGTAAATTCCACTCGAGATTGTTTGCGTTTGTTGCGCCGTGCGATTTCACTACTCTTCCTCAAGCAAGATAGTTCTAGTTAGGCAATGACCACTTTAGATACTTGATATCGACAATGTAATAATAATCACCCATCTTCGATGCGATAATTGCGTAAGCTTAATGAAACGTACTCCCAGAAACAGTGATCGTAAATTTCGTGAATGAACACGGGACAACGATGCAAAGAATTCAGTCGGTATTGTGAGATACAAACGAAATACAAATCCCTAACCACTTCTTATATTTAAATAAACGTTCTTCTAAATCTTCTGAAGAAAATAGGAAAGGAGAGCGATGAGAAGTAGGGCTGTCACATTGTACATGAATCTCCATCCCTTTCGTTGCTGCGTCTAAAACTGAAAGGCAAAAAATTGAAGGATGCATTCGATCCTCGGGGCAAGCACGAACGAACACGAATCCTCGGCAAAGCAAAGCGCCAGCTTCTCAACAACGAAAGGTATTACGGAAATCGCGTTGGCTCGGTGCTCGGCGCACGTTTGGATTGCAAATGGCTCGTGAAGAGAGACACTTCGTGGATTCAGTATCAATGTGATGACGATCAACGACCAATAGGCATTTCCTTTTTCGAGAGA